GAACCCGGCCCCGTACTCTGGAAGTTTCTTGATTATTTGTGTTTTTCATTCTTCCTAAAATGCATTTATTTTTAAAAATTGGTGGGCGGCCGGGGGGGGGGCGCGGCGCCAGAAGGGATCCTCGCCTAGGGTGCAAAATAAGCTGGGGCCGGCCCTGGTTGTGATCCACACAATCAAAGGGTTTAGCGTAGTCAATGAAGCAGAAGTATTTACCCACAAAACCAAATCTAGCTTTAGTTGTCGTCGTCCCCCCCGTACCCAATTGGAACTGCACTTGTCTGTTTAATGCCTTTTTCAGACTTGGTTTTGCAGCCTTTGTGGAACTCTAGCCCCACCCTCTTAATTCTTCCCCCACTTAAGCTACAGGCCTAGCAGTGCAAATGGCAGAGGTGCAGACGTCCACTTCAGAGCTGAGCTGAGCTTAAATGAAGCAGGGCAATTATTTTCACAGCAGTGGAAAGATAATCTGCAAGAGAGAGAGAGAGAGAGAGAGAGAGAGAGAGAGAGAGAGAGAGAGAGAGAGAGAGAGAGGGAGGGAGGGAGGGAGGTACTTAAGTGGGCACCTGCTTAGTTGGACTCAAAGGTAGAGGGAAGTTCGCAATCACTCCTGTGATCTGGTGAAGCTGAAACTAAGGATAATTAAGCCACTTAAAGGGCAGAGGGCCAATTTGGAGGGGTGAGAGGAAGGGGGGGGTAAATTTCAAAGTAATTTTTTTTTAAGTATAGTTGTGTTTGTACATTGTGAACTTTGCTGTGAAATGCCTGGGGAGAAAAAAACGCATTTAATTTATAGGTCAGCTGTGTTTCTGTGAAGATAAATGCTTTTGTAATAAGGGGCATTGTACAGTATGATTCAATATCTAATATGATTTTCTATTAAATTGCTGTGTTGGATAGCTTTCTTCCATGCAGCGAAACAAGCTAGACCAGTTCCCTGAGAAAAGGGATGTGTTAAGAAAGGTAGCGTGAACCAGTGCTTAGCAGCTGTGAGCTTGGGGTGGGGGAGAGGACAGATTGGTCACATCCAGTTTTCCAAATAGGCCTTAGCAAGCTTTCTTAGGAAAGCAAACAAGGATGTGCCACCCGAAACATAATGGAGAGACCTAGCTCTACTTGAAGTAGTCGACCTGTGTCTAGGCTGTACCATTTCAGACAGTACAGAAGGCCTTTGTCAAGTAAGTGCTCCTCCATATGGGCTATTTTGGGGCAGGAACGCACAGGAACGGAGTTCCGACTGGCTCCCGAGTTGGCCACGCCCAGCAGGAACTCATTAGCATAATAGGCCACACCCAAAAGCAGAAACTCATTAGGATTGGCTACATTAGGGGTGTGTGGCCTAACATGCAAAGGAGTTCCTGCTACAAAAAAGCCCTGGGTTTTGACAACAAACAAGGTAAACAGAATAACAAGCAAAAGGTGGGTGTGGCTGGATAACCACACTTCTGGTAACATGGGGGTGCGGCCTAATGTGCGAATGAGCTGTGCTATCAGGGGTGTGGCCTAATATGCTAATGAATTTCTGCTTTTGGGTGTGGCCTATTATGCTAATGAGTTCCTGCTGGGCTTTTTCTACAAAAAGAGCCCTATCTATATCTAATCCGTGAACAAGGACAACTAGCATATCAAGGAAGCTGGGCACCTTCTCCTTGACGTGATAGTTTTGTAAAAAAATAGAGGTGCATTCTATTATGCAAACCTGTGTTCTGAAGCGGATTTACCACCCAAGGAATGTTGCTGGGCAGGCCAGCAGTCCTAAAGTCCTTGACCCTGAAGAGAGCCGCTCCAAGGAGAAGCAAAGTCAGATACACATAGCATAGACCAGGCCGGGACCACCAGTCAAAATACAGGCTTGCAGCTGTACTTAGTGGATGCTGGACAAGCTCCATCCATATTTAACAATTCTAGGCAGGTGGCAGGGAAATCTGACAAGGACCACTGTACATGGCCCATGGGTCTCTAACGTTCCAGGCCTTTTGTCGGTCAAAGCGGCTAAGTGGATATCTGGAGCTTATGGTTGGGTGTTTGTTTCCTAATTCTGCCACTCGCCATGGAAGTTTGCACTTTACGTGTATTCTGGACTCCCAACAATTTACTGTTCCATTCCCCACTGATGTGTGGAGGGGGAGAGAATAAACCTTTTAAACATGCTTGTATATCATCTGGTAATGCTGAGTAGTGCATTCTGCTTTGTAAACCAAGGGGTAGACAGTTTCATGGAGAACAGCTCCACTGATATCTAACTGTGCCGACAAACTGGAAGCTTCGTGTTCAGAGGCAGTAAGTCTTTGAAAACCAGTGCTGAGGTTAACAAAGGGGAGACCGGAGGCCCCCCTTGCCTTCCATCTGGCTGGCCACTGTATGAAACTCTTTGGTAGATTCAGTGGACTGTTGGCCTGACCCAGGAGGGCAGCTCTCTGGTGGAAATCACACACCCAGAGGTTTGCTAATTGGCCCTTAGACGAGCCATTCTCACTCCACCTCAGTCCTCCCCACCATAGTAAAGGTAAAGGTTCCCTTGCTCGAAAGCCAGTCGAATCCGACTCTAGGGTTGCGGTGCTCATCTCCGTTTCAAAGCCGAAGAGCCAGCGCTGTCTGAAGACGTTTCCGTGGTCATGTGGCCAGCATGACTAAACACCAAGGCGCGCGGAACGCTGTTCCCTTCCCACCGAAGTGGTACCTATTTATCTACTTGCAATTTCTTGCTTTCAAACTGCTAGGTTGGCAGGAGCTGGAACCAGAGATGGGAGCTCACTCCATCATGCGGCACACTCGGGTCTCGAATGGCTGAACTACCGACCTTCCACAGCCTGCAGTTTAGCGTCTTAACCACTTGAGCCACCGCAGCTCCTTACCCCCACCATAGTAGTGGGATAATATTGATTTGCTGCATGGGGTTATTGTGAGGCTCCTAACAAGATAATTTACATAAAGTGCTCTGAGTGTTCAAAACTTTAGCATTAACACCAGCTGCGGTCTACCTTTATCCTCAAACGCTGTGGAGGAGGTGGGCATCCGTTTCCATCAGAAGAGTGTACTTGTCCATTCAGGACAAGTCCCCTTTTTATTAAAGCACCAGCACACACCTGCCCAGAGATAGGCATGGCTCCATAAGGTATCTGTAGCTAATGCATTATGAATGCATTTCCCCCGAGCACATGCCCTCTGCAGAATGGCCAAGGTCAGTTAAGAACTGGATTATTAGCAAATGGATTAGCGCTCGGGGAGAATAATCTGTGGACGCCACTTCTGCTGACAGCCAGAAAAGCAGGCCACTTTCTGCCTTGAGTTTTCTTCTCTTTTTTTGCAGCAAAGAAGGGAGATTATTTTTTAAGCAGCAGATGTTCTGGCAGAGATGAGACAAGGTTTCGAACTCCACAGACCACGTGAGGTTTCCATGTTCCTCGTATCTGTTCTCCCCGCCCCCAGACATACACCCCTTAACAGGACTTGGGGGGAGCGGAGTTGGCCATGCATTGCCACTGTTGGCTGTGGCTGCCAGAACATGTCAAGGGAGGCCAGTTAGTTCAGGTTGGACTCTTCAGGGTGGGTGGGAGGGAGCTTAGCAGTATCAAGTCCTCTCCCATAGTTTAAAACAGTGTGGTCTAGTTCTAATTGAACGGGCCGGTCTGTGTCTGGGCTGTACTGCTTGAGAGTACAGATGGGGACTCACTTGTGTTCCCGTACAGGCAAAAAAATCTTTGCAAATAGAAAAGTAGCTGGTAAGGGATAAAGCAAGAAATTGCAAGTAGATAAATAGGTACTGCTGCGGTGGGAAGGTAACAGCGTTCCATGCGCCTTGGCGTTTAGTCATGCCGGCCACACGACCACGGAAACGTCTTCGGACAGCGCTGGCTCTTCGGCTTGGAAACGGAGATGAGCACCGCAACCCTAGAGTCGACCGGCTTTCGAGCAAGGGAAACCTTTACCTTTCGGGGATAAAGTAGCTGGTTCGGGATAAAGCTAAGATCTGACCCTTCTCCTTGCTCTTCTGGGCTCTTTTTCCCTGCACAAGCAGGATGATGAGGTGGTAGGGCAGACCTTGTCTGCACTCTCTCTTTTCTCCCCACTATGCAGGCTCTTCTCGGCGGCTGACAGCCTTTTGTGCTACAAGTTTCAGTCTAAAGTTTGTACTGACATCACCTTAACAAGGCAATTTGGATGAGGTGTTGGTGCTGGTTTTATTGCCGTTTCCCTCCCAGGAGGAGGCAGACCCATCGCATTAAAGCTAATTTACAAATAATATGCTTCTTTTCACTGTTGCTGGATTGTAACGTTTTTGAGATGATTCTATTTTGTTTTGGCTTTGTGATCAAGTCCTTTGCATAATTAGCATGGCAGGTGTCAAAAGATTGCAAGCCAGTCAAGAGAAGCAAAAGTCCCAGAAATAATGCCCTAACCGTTGTGCTTTGCAGGGACTCCTTGGCGAGAGGCGCAGACCCATGACTTGAAAAATGTTCTGAAGGGCCTCAGCCGTGAGATCCCTGCAGTGTTCGTCAGCGGCAACCACGACCTTGGGAACGCGCCTACTCCAGAAACGATTGACGATTATTGCCAGCAGTGGGGAGACGATTACTTTGCCTTCTGGGCAGGGGGGATTTTTTTCCTCGTCCTCAATTCTCAGCTCTACTTCGATCACTCGAAATGCCTGGAACAGAAGCAGGCTCAGGACACGTGGCTGGACGAGCAGCTCACCCTCGCAGAAAGGAGAGCGTGCAAACATGCCGTGGTGTTTCAGCACATCCCCTTGTTTCTCCAGTCACCCGAGGAAGACCATGACTACTTCAACCTGGAGAAGTCGATTCGACAGGAATTGCTGGACAAATTCCGCAAAGCAGGTACTGCCCCTTTCCTCATTTCAGTGAGGTAATGGGGAATTTCACATTACCCAGTTTCACCCGATTTCAAGCCGGTAATGATCCGTTTTGAAGTGAACCGGTATAGGGCTGCCATTTCACACATGGCTTTCCCCTTCCGGTAAAGAGCTGGATCTGAAGCGGTTTGCCATTTCAGACTGCACCGCTTTTACCCGCTGCTTTTCGCCTGTGTGAAATCTCCGCCTTTTTTTTTAACGCACGCTTTAGAGTGCTATAGCGCTATAGCAGTATAACAAAACACTGCATGCATTCCAATGGGATCGATATAATGCTATCCCGTTATAGCGCTATAGCGCTATAATGCTATAAAGCAAACGTTCAAAAAAAGCCGGAGATCGCCCGCGCGGGAAAAACGGCGGGAAAAAGCGCATCAGAACCGGGAGAGGAAACTGAGGAGTACCCATTTCCTAAATGGGACAGAAGCGATTGTGTATGAAACAACAAATATATTCCGGAAGGGAACCGGTTCTCAAACGGTTCTGTCTGAAATGACAGACCAGAAACCGTTTGGGAACCGTTCCTCTTCCGGAATATATCGCCTGTCTGAAATCCCTCAATGTCTGGGCCGTACCACTTCAGACCGGTGGGGGGCTTCCCTAAAAAAAATCCCCTCAGCCCAGCAAATCAGTATGTCATGATCTAGCCTAGCTTTCTCCATGACATACTAATTTCCTATGTGCCAGGAAGGAACTCTTTTGTTGTGGGAAGAACATTTTATACGTGTGGTCTCAAGTGGTAACAGTCTAGTCACTGGCCAAAGGTTGAAGACATCTTAAAAATGTTTGGAGGTAATTTGATAACGTCCCGGAAAGAGCCAGGATGTCCTGCCGCTTTTGGGAATGATTCCACTTGAATGGGGAAGGGGGGGGGGGAATCTGTTTCATTTGTGATGTCATCCATACACGTTCTCCTGCTCCTCCCATCTTCATAGCAACAAAATAAAACAGAAGTTCAGCAGTACTATCAAAATTGATTACAGCATAAACTTTTTGGAATATGCCCTCACATCATCAGATGCATGAAGTGTTCATCCATTAGGCAGATGTCTATTTATTTACCTCAATGGGGACCCAAAGCAGCTCACATTGTTCTCCTGCCCTCCGCTTTATCCTCACAAGAACTCTGTGAGGTAGGTTAGGCTGAGAGTGTGTGACTGGCTCCGGGCCACCAAGTAAGCATCCATGGCATAGTGGGGATTCGAATCTGGGTCTCCCAGATCATAGTCTGACACTGAAACAACAGAAAGGCAGTTGGGGGTGGAATTAGGGAATTTTTTATGTCTCCTCTCCTGAGATCTGCTCAAGGTGGCTTACAAATAGAAGCAATGCCATACAAGCAATATAAGCAATCAGCATTAAAAACAGCATCCCTAAAACAGAACACAGGCAAAAAGCAGAGCATAAAGGTAAAGGTAAAGGTTCCCTTGCTCGAAAGCCAGTCGAATCCGACTCTAGGGTTGCGGTGCTCATCTCCGTTTCAAAGCCGAAGAGCCAGCGCTGTCCGAAGACGTTTCCGTGGTCATGTGGCCAGCATGACTAAACACCAAGGCGCACAGAACGCTGTTACCTTCCCACCAAAGTGGTCCCTATTTATCTACTTGCAATTTCTTGCTTTCGAACTGCTAGGTTGGCAGGAGCTGGAACTAGAGACGGGAGCTCACTCCGTCTTGCGGCACCCGGGTCTCGAACTGCTGAACTACTGACCTTCCACAGCCTGCAGTTCAGCGTCTTAACCACTTGAGCCACCGCAGCTCCCTTC